CCTCAAAAGCCCAAACTCGCTGCTGCCTCTGTTGCTGTGTGTGTGCACTCTCTAGGAGTCTTACATGGAGTCCCCGTCTATCCTGTGATGCCCTTTTCTCCAAAAGGAACTCTCAGCTCCTTTCTGGTCCACTCTAAGTGGCTAATGCCACGCACATCTGACAGGCACCAGACCTCCCATCAGGAGCCCTTCTTAATTCTTCAGGCTGTTTTCTAGCCACTTCAGCCCCCTCTCTGCAAGTTTATCATCCTTAATGCCCGTGTTTTCAATTTCACACAGGAATTCTGCCTAACACACAATTAAAGTTTGCTGATACAATGGTTATGCGGAGAATCTGAAAACCAACCCTGCTGTAGGAGGATCAGGGCTGGAAGGATTTATGAGCACCAAATATGCAGAATAGGTTGCTATAGGCATCTCATATTTTATTCAATGATTTGGGGGTATATCTGTGATAGGATGATAACCTTTGTCCAAGTCCTACTCTCAAGATGTGAGTATTTAGGAGCCACCACAGGTCATGAAACCAAATAATAATAATAATAATAATAATCTACACTAATAAAAGAGAAACATGCAAATTGGCGTCATTCCACTACACCCACCAGCCAATCAGGATGAGTACACAAATTAACCCAACAAAGATGGCGGTTAATTTGCATACACAGGTGCAGAGGGAAGACTGAAGGCTCCAGCTGGAGTCAAGACTGAAGACTGAAGAGGCTTGGCTTCTCTGCTGAGCCTGGACCAAAGGCCTGGGTCCCGGGTGCCGGAGGAAAACCGGTGCCGGCAGCCAGAGGAAGGAAGGCCTATTGCGTGAATCTTTGTGCAACGGGCTTCTAGTAATAATAATAAGCAAGTAGAGACAAAATACTAGTACAGTGGATTTCAATATATGTACCGCCAATAGCAGGCCCAAAACTTTTTAGCGACTTAGTTCGTTGGTAGAGTACAGCTGCAGCTCTTTATCCTCATTTAGGGAAAGATTTCTAGAGAACACCAGTTTGAATTTCAGCTACTCAAATTCAGGTAATTCTGAGCTGCCCTGCTGCAAAGTGCCAGAGGGAAGAACAACCCTTGCCAGCTCCCTTCCTCCCTGCCAGGGCTCATGGAGATCCGCATTCCTCAGTGACTGCAAAGGAATCTCTTTCAAATAACTGAATACATTTCATCAGGAGAGGGGATTTACATTTTCAATGACGTTTTTAAAGAAATTTCCACTTAATTACCACCGTCCACTTTTGTGTTTGTTCCCAATTACTATTCTCAGCACGGCCTACTTACTTACCATAATGTCTAAGGAAGTACTTCTATATACATGGGATTTTGTTTTTTGTTAAGGCAATTGAATATAAATGCCAGGAACACATTCAGTGGGGGGGAAAAATAGTTTCTGCTAAGCCTATCAAAAGTGGTCAGCTGCCCTGGTTTGGATTATTTTCTGCTCTACAGGCTTAGAGAAGTAGACAGGGCAGGAGAACTAGATGTATTATTTCTATTATTTCCTCATGTGAGTTTTTTCTTTTTTCTTTCTAGCCATAACAAAGTTCCAAAGGCAACTCTTTTTAAAGGAATCATAAAAGCTCTACTCTGATCTTCTGCATAAAAATTATTCTTCACATCAGGATTTGGGGATAACATTCAAATGAGTCAGCTACATACGATGGCAGGCATTACAGCACCGTGGAGAACACGTCCTACTTCTGTAGGTTCAAGCCAATCTAGAAAGTGGCTGTCTAGAAAAAAGTAGCTGGATATCTGTCCTCAGTCCTGCAGCCCAGGGCTGACCAAGGATCTTCCTTTCCTGTGGGTAATGTTTTTCATTTCTCAGTTCACTTTCCTCTTCATCCCATTATTTCAGGACACTATCTTCAAAAATGCCCCTCCTTTAGCGCAGCCTTCCTGTAACTGACACCCTGCACCTCAGCGGGGATTTTTGTCTTGGGTGGACACAGGTGATTTGTTCTCTCCCAGGTCCAATTACATCGCTGGGGAACTTCAACTCTTGTTAATTTTTATGTGAACTCTAAATACTGCCCCGAGAATACATCTCTTGTTCCTATTTTCTATTACTGAGTAATAGAAACACACAATAACAACAGTGCCTTGCGACTTTCTGCTTCGCTGTAGCCCATGCTCAGAATCCCATCTATAAGAACCCGTTTGTCACTTCCCTCTCTTTTCTGTCTAGTTAGGATTAAGCCTTTTCCTGTGTTTCCACCCACCACCCACCTCCTCTCTTTGTGGGTGTCTGAAAGAGTACTTTGCTGGCTTGATTATTAGCTTTTGGCCCAAATTAGAGTTGAAAGAACCACCAATGTAAACGGCGTGCACCTGGATTCCGGATTCTGTTTTTCAGGAATCTTGTTTTTACCTTCTTTCTAAAAATCGGAGTCTGCACCAATCCTTCCTGGGTTCACTCATACTTACATGAGGTTTTCAGGTATTGACAATTCCTTGCCACCTGTGAACTCTGTTACCTGCTTTCTTCCATGTACATGTGCTGGGCATCCCCGCTGTGCCAGAGGTCCTGTCAGCAGGGGCCAACGTTCCAGCACAGGACAACTTGAGGGAGTAGGCAGCAGGGCTAACACATTTACAGACTAAGTGGGTGGTGTTCGGTCTGGTCAAATAATTGAATCGATACCACCTCCCCTTAGGAACTGGCCTTTAGGCCACTTCACAACGGACATTTCCTTTCACTTAGACCACATTCCACTTGCTAAGACCATTAACCTTCCCCTCCGGACCTTCTCAGGATCTGGGCTTGCACAGAGAATTCTCAAACCAGAAAAAGCCCACCTAGAGTCCTTTAAAAACCTCTGATTTCCCTTCTTTGGGTGCTGGCACCATTAGGTATCCAGATGACCTAATCTATCCTGTATAATAAAAGGCTAATATGCAAACAACCGAACCGGTTGCTATGACGTGCGCAGAACATGGCGGCCATTGGCCACAGCGGGATGGTAGAGCAGATGAGTGGGGGCGCCAGACCAAGGCGGGGCGCCGGTCGCTGTCATCGAGGCGAGCCTCAGGTGATTACTGAAAATTCTTTGCTCCTGCACACTGTGGTCCTGCCTGGTGCTCACACCTGCTGCTGGCGCCAGCCCTGCTTGCACACGCAAGCTGGCACCAGAGCTGCCACTCACACCCACTGCTGGTGCTCAGCCCCAGTCCCGATCGCTTGGCACCGTCAGCGGGTGCAAGCGGCGTCAACCGGCCCCGATTGCCCCACAGGGCTTCTCCACCTCCCCCTGCTCCTGAGGGGTGATCGGGGCAGCAGCTGCCACTCACACCCGCTGCTGGCACCAGCCCTGCTCGCACCTGCAGCCGGCGCCAGAGCCGCCACTCACACCTGCTGCAGGTGCCTGGCTCTGGTCCCATCAGCGTGTGGGAGTGGCGGCAGCAGGAGCAGGGCTGCCGGCAGACAGAGGACAGGGAGTCACGGCAGGAGGAGCTGGGCAGGGGCACAAAGGATGGGCCGAGATCCGCCCCTGTGCCCACTGCAGCCTCATGGCCCACAGTTCCTTTCAAGGTGCACAAATTTGTGCACTGGGCCCCTAGTCTATAATAATAAAAGCATAATATGCTAATTAGACAGGACAGCTGAACAACCTTCCAGACGAAGCTGGGGCTGCGAGGGCCAAGTCCCTTGCATGAATTTCATGCATCGGGCCTCTAACATATATATATATATGCATGCCTAAGCAACCGGAACGGCCAGTTGCTATGACGTGCACTGACCACCAGGGGGCAGATGCTCAATGCAGGAGCTGCCCCCTGGTGGTCAGTATGCTCCCACAGCCAACCTCCCCTCCCTGGCCAGCCAACCTCCCGCGGTCCCTCCCCCTGGCCCCTGGGCTGGGATGGAGAACCGGGGGTGGGTGATGCGGCCCCTTTTCCGGGGGGGGCAAGGCAAACTACCTCCTCAGGGCTGGTGGCCAACCTCCCGTGCCCCAGCCCTGATGGGCATGGCCTCAATCGGCCCTGATAGCCAGCCAGGCCTAGGGACCCCACCCGTGCATAAATTTAGTGCACTGGGTCTCTAGTAAATTCACACTCCCTCATTACTTTGGCCTTGTGCATTCCTCCTTCGGCGACCCTAACAGATGGTGGTGTGGAGGTAGTAAAAATGGTCATTTCTGCATGGCTCCTGGCACCTAGTAAGCACTCAGCTCTCAGCTCAATGTTTAGAAATACACAGCGTGTGCTAGTATATTTTTTTAAATCACTATTTGGCAGAGGAGTGTTTGCACTGTATCTGGAACGGGTCTAGATGAAAGAGACTAAAGAGGCATGACCCCTAATGCAGTGCTTACCCCTGGATTAAAAATAAAATAGCTAGCACATAGGTACAAAGGGGGAGATGTTAATCTAGACCAGGGGTGGGCAAACTTTTTGACTCGAGGGCCACAATGGGTTCTTAAACTGGACCGGAGGGCGGGAACAAAAGCATGGATGGAGTGTTTGTGTGAACTAATATAAATTCAAAGTAAACATCATTACATAAAAGGGTACGGTCTTTTTCTTTTTTAGTTTTATTCATTTCAAACGGGCTGGATCCGGCCCATGGGCCATAGTTTGCCCACGGCTGATCTAGACTGTGTGCTGGGTAATAACACTGCATCAATGTTAAACTTCTTGAATGTGATCATTGTATTGTGGTTATAAGAATGCCCTTGGTTTGGAAATATTAAGTACAAGGTGTGAGAATGTAATTTACTCTCAGGTGGTTCAGAAAAAAAGTATATCTTATTTATAGAGAGAAATACACTCAGAGCGGCAGAGAATGATAGCAAAAGGTTAAAAACAGGAAAACTAGGGGATAGGTATATGGATGGGTGTTCATTATATTATCCTTGCATTATATTATCCTATGCTTTGAAATTTTTCAATATAAAAAAAAAGTTGGGAAAAGAAAATAAATAAAAAACAGAACACTTTAAATCTACTGTAAGCAGTGTTAGAAGAAAAGCCAGGGAAGAATAATTCACACTCAGTTCTGAAACCAAACACAAATACTTTTTATTTCTGAGATATCATTTTACATCAACTCCATTAAAACCTAAAACCAGTTTGCTGTACTCAAGTCAGGTGGCATAACAGTATCTGAGTTAAGCTGGGAGTCACAGGACTTGCACACGTTTATGAATGTAATGCAAATACTGACGACACGAAGCATTCACAGTTATAGGTTAGCTGCTGTTCCTTTAACAGTAGCCCCCAAGAGAAATTATAGAAATTATTTCATGAAAAAAAGCAACCCACGTTTTGGTCTCATTTACAGACACCCAACATTTTAGTTGGTCAATGAATTCTATACATTTATTATACAACATAACATATGAAAGAATAAAAGATAAGGCTTACAGAGGTATTTTAGCAGTTGTAAGATTAAAAACCAAGGGCACAAACAAACTTTTAAAGCTTTCCGTATAAACCTCAAAAGCACTATTAAAAGGAGACTGAGAGGCAACAGAAACCTGTTGCTAAACCAGAAGGTTTATCTAGTCGGATTTAGAAAAAACTTAATTCAGAGTTCATGCTTCAGAAGAGCTGCAGGGAACTTTACAGTGAGTGTTTATGGCAAATCAAATAATAAGCTTTCTGACCTAGTGCAACAGTAAACATCTAGAAGTTGTAGTGTCCGTCACAACATACTATTGCAAGGTGGAGGTCAAAACAGTGGAGAGAGAGAAAGGATGTGGACTGGGTGATAAAGAAAAACCAGAAGGCACCCTAATTTATTTAACATTAGCCAGTAAGTAAGTGTTTGATGACTGCTCAATTTTATGTAACTTAGGGATGCTTTTAAGAAAAGGTACCTTATTATACTGGCTGACCCCTTTTTCTCCCCTTAAAATAACTGCATAAAGCCAAGGAAACCAAGGGCCAAAGAGATTTATTTTTCAAGGAAGTTTAAAGATTTGGCATTGTCTACATATGCAAGATTATCTCTTTAGAATACTTTCATATTATACATCATGAAAGTTTCTAGCTGGGATTTCCCCCATCATCAAAACGTTCTTGTGGATGAAATATAACACCTGCCCTGTAACAGTCCTGTACTTACTTTAGGACTGACTGTGCTTAGTGCTTTAAAACAGCAGTCGCCTACCTTTCGGACCTCACGGACCACCAGTGGTCCACGGCCATTGGTTGGTGACCGCTGTTTTAAAGTCTCTACTCTCTAACAATAACTTTTAAAATACTTATCTGTGATTTATATTTATATGTACATTTCTGATTTATTGAACAAATTTAAGAACTGTTGACTTTAAGTGTTTTTGTTTTTTTTTAATTCACGGGATACCTCTGAAAATGAATCAAGTTCTCCACAGAGCTGAACCTACGGCCAATTGCCACTGGAATGACACCATCGGAACGGAGCCCCTTTCAACACATTGGTCTCATGAGCTGTGCTTGCCATCAACATCTCCAATTCTTCCCAGGTATGAATTTGTGCAAACTGGTATGAATTTATAAGGTAGAAGTGACTCCACAATTCCTAAACAAGGAATGATTAAGTATGCTTAATCACTACAGGGATTTTCAAACTTCTGGTTTATTTCACAGCAAACCAAACCTCTCTAATTGGTAGAAAAAAGAATTCTACCAGATCATGATTTTGTGTATGTGCACACACTGTATTTACATACAAATTTCTGTCTTTGGTGGTTCAGTTAGAGAAAAAAATAATATGAAAATCTGAACACTGTTTGCAAAGAAACTGTGAAATAGTGGTTAAGAGTAGCATTGTCTGTGTGCTTCTCTCATTGAATGCCATTTAAAGGTTCACATTTAATCCAAAAGTTTTTTCAGCCAGATTTTGAAATAATCCAAGCCTCTTCCAATCATGACATGTTCAATCATGAATCTTGCTCACACAGTAGCATTCACCGGTTCAAATGCACCATTAGCTTTTTACTTGGTTTAAATCATTAGACTTTTTTTGTTTTCACTAAACTTTAGGGACTAAATTAGTCATTCAATAGCACCAGATAGTTGAGGGGAAAACATGTTATCTACACAGTTCCTAAAGGGTAAGGCAAGGGGAGGGAAATAAAAAACATAAAACAAAAACCTAAAAGTTCCATCCTGTTTACAAGTTCCTCATCCACATAAATAATGGCTATCACCTTTCTGTACAAATGACCCAGGTAACAAGCGGCCTCTCCAGGGACGGTCCTACCGTGTAACAGTTAGCGCAATGCTGGTGGTTTCCTATCCACTGCCTGCAATGGACATTCTGCCAGGAAAAGCCTAGCATGAAAGAAACAAAAAGGGAAACAAAACCCCTCTCACTTATAATAGAGTTCTTTTTCAAAAAAAACTAGAAAATTAGACACCATGAAAGCTTAACTAAAAATTCAAGCCACAACTAAAACTGCTCTGCAATTATCAAATGCCAGTAAACCACTGGGTTTCCATGGAGGAGGCAAAACCAGCTTCACTTAGAATGGCATAGAAAGCATCAGCAGACCAAACGCTGCCAAGAAGAATGCAAAAGAGAAAGAAAAATCTGCTAAAGCAAGTTTACAAGAGTTCAGAACTATTCTATTTTAAAGAAAAGGTGCAATGTTAATTTATTCATTTGTACCTATATTCAAAGTACTACAGCTTTTTAACATTAGAAAAGAAAAACCTATACCTTGCATGGTGGAAATGACTGGTGGCATGGTTGGTACATGTCTGTATGTTCAAATAATTATAGTTTCATCATTTAAAAATGCTAATATCCAGGTAAACCAATTACATTTGGCATATGCCTCTGCAAAGTTAGAACTCCCACCTCCTTCCAAAAGTTGGCCTCTTGAACAATCAGGTGAATTCTGGCAACATTTACTTATGGTAAAATTCTTCTGTTTTTTGAAATGCTACATTTGAGACCAAGTAAAGTATAATTGGTTCATTTGAAAAAAGGGACTAGAAATATGCCAAAAAAATTATTTTTACAATACATTTTTGCAGAAATAATCTCTAGGTGAAGCTTTTTCTTTTTATACACATATACAAAATTTAAACAGCAATATACACATAATCACAGTGAGGACGTTGGCAAATTCACCAATCTGTAGTGTAAATACAAACTGCAAAAGCAGCCTTCCAAGAGAATAATGCTACACAGCAGGCAGAGCTGGCCCATTCAATAGCAAACACCAAAAACGTCCCTGCAAAAGGGAGACAGTGCAAGAAAAGCAGCATGCGCTTTGATACAAACAGCAATTTATGGCTAATGGTTGACATAACTGTGGTAACAGTGACTCTCGCGCTGCTATGCATACAGTCCTAGGACATCTGCTTGTCTTTATACCATTCCACAAACTCGTCCAACAAAACTGGCCCTGGAGAGAAAGAGAAAACAAGACAGCTGAGAAGGACGCACGAATGGGCCACAAAGTGAAGAGTGCAAGGACACCCAGTGCTGGTACTTACATGCGCCATCTTCGTCGTAGTTGCTGAGGTCAAGGTTAATTGTTCTGCTAAACTCTAGCACATTGCACCACTGGTCTTTGTTAATAACTTTATATTTTGATTGCTGATGGAGGGAAAAGTAATAGGAATTACTGACATAATTAACAAATGGGACGGTGTCAATTGCTGATGAATCAACTTAATACAGTTCATAAAGGTTAACTCTTTTTCCACTGGGTTGTTAAGTACCAGTCTAGGAGGACGGTGAGAGAGAGCAGGAGTAGAACTTAAGATGACAACTTTCATTACAAAAATATTATGGTGCCCAACACAAATGACAAGCACATCAAAGAAACACAATTTTATAAACCTAGAAGTGAAATTTCTAGACTGCAAAGGCCCTTTTACATAAAATGGGAGTAACACTTCCTTCATAAAGGTATTGCAAAGATTAAGAGATAATTTAGGTAACTTACGTAAAGCCCTTCATTCATACTTAGCACACAGGAAGTGCTAAATAAAGCGTAGCTCCATGAATGAGCCCTGATATGACAAGGATGTACTGTGTCAAGCTCTGAGCTCAAGTACACACAGCAGTCGATGAGGAGGTCTCAGACTAGGTGCTCTAGCCACTGAAGAAATGACTGTTCTAATAAGTCAAAACTTCAATCTGGTCATAAAAGTAATCAGAATAGCCATGGAGTAGATTCCTATTCCTCTTAGACAAGAAATATGCCATATGTGTATTTTAAAATATAGTGTTCATGTGTAAACATTTGAAAATAAAAGCTAGATTCAATAATTTTTTAGTCTTAACCACTAATATCAGAAACACTGGAAAACAATACAAGCAGACAAAAAGCAAAGAGTTGATCCAATAGTTTTGAGGATGCAAACACAAGAACAGCTGAAAATGAAAGGATTACTGTCTCCTTTTAAAAGAAAAATGCAAACTAATAAGAGAACAAAGCAGACTACAAGTTTCACTTTCTAGGCACCTAAAAGCAAGAACCAGCTGGTGGAGCTCCTGGAACTGCAAAGTCAAACTGGCTTCAGGCAAGGTCCTAGGGCTAAAGGACCCATCACACTCAGGCTAATTCTGCTAAACTCTCTGAGAGCAAGAACCTGTTTCTACTCATTTTCCAAATAAAGCTAACACTTCACAGGATTGGCAGAGAAATTAGAACAGATCACTTGTAGTGTGAACTGTCATGTAAACAAATACTTCTTACATTAAAACTAGTTTTTATACCTTTCTTGAGGAGTTCCAGCTAGTAATGTTACAAGCGATTTTTAAATAACAGTCCTCAAAGAATCGTTATCAGTTGGAAGTTTTTCCAGACAATTACATAAAGTAAGTTGTAAGAAAGATTATTTCAAGAGTGAAGCCAGAGTCAGGATAAGACCCAGGATTTCCTCAAAGACTCAACACCTTCATCCTTCCAAGCAGAGGACATTTTAAAAAGGGGTTTGGGGCAAAGAAGAAAAGGGAAGGGGTTTGGGGCTGGAGGACAAGAAGGATGCTATCTATATGACATCCCTAGTAACTCAAACCTCCATCTCATGTACTTCAGACTCCTACCGTATTACATTACATCCAAACCAGCTCCTCATAACCAGCAGCTCAAAGGTATTTATTATTCACCCTTAAAGCAACTGAACAATGATGGGGTACAGGGCTGGATCATTTCTAATACAAATGTGAAGAAAAATTAAACTGAAGGAGATTTTGTCAGTTTGCCTAACACTCAAACTAATTCCTGGTCCCCAAGTTACTTGGAGATAAGAGTAAAGATGACTACATTACACACTTCTTTTAACAAAAAGGCTGATGCTTATTTTTTAATCTTTGCTTAATAAAAGTGGAAATTCACCTAAAGCCACAAAGGAAAGTAAATCTTGTTTTACTATTGTTATAAAGAGCAGGAAATCTAAACAAAAGTAAAGCTTTTAAAATGGGGACAAGAGAGGAGCAAAGGACAGAGCAGTAGCTGTTTCTGATGCATCTGTACCGGGAGCGATGCAACACAATAAATTCAAACAGACACCCGCAGAGAGAACAGGTCGTTGCTGATTGACAGCAGTTATGTCACCATAATTCCTATAGGCAGAAAGTATAACAAACAGAAAATTACATAAAATGGTTAAAGTACACTTGGTAATTCTAAGCAAGCAAAAATACATTCCATAAAATAACAATTTGGTACCTCTAAGAATTGGTGAAAAACTGGAAAAAGGGGCCAGATTTTTCCTAATAACAGTCCCAACATGCACTTGGCAGTGTTAATGTCTAGGCTGCGCTGGTCCTTTTCCTGTTTAACAAACAAAAACAAGGATGAGCCAGATGCCCCAAATAATAAATTCCAATAATCCAAATTTCTATTTCACGTCAACAAGACATTAGTGAACAGCTCATTGACCATTTATCATACACCATAGAATCCCTGGGTCACGACTGAGGTGCGGGAGGGGAGGCATCAAACAATGGAAGGCTTGCTCACTCTGGTACTATAGAAACATACTGTGAAAAGACTCATGTCAACTGAAATGATCACTCTAATGCAAAAATCAGTTAGTTAGGTAGTAACAGTATCTACAATTATTTCATAGGATAAATAAAAATCTATAATCACTTGCTGTTTGACATTTACGATAATTACCAAAATCATAATTGCTCACCTCAAACAAAGCCCATAATTAACTAAATGTTTAATTTAACTAAAGGTTTCAACTTCCATGCTTAGGAATCAGTTTTCCTTAATAACATTTTTCCAATAATTTATTTTGTTGGTAAATGTTTTCCTTGTACCTAAAAAGCATTGGAATTAAATGCAGCTCACAATAAAGGTTGGGGCTGTGGAGCTTCTCTCCAACTAAGGGGGTATATTCATCCACTCACTCTGGGAGAAAATAGTCTGTCTACTACAGTCCTTCTTACCTTGGATTTGTTGGACGTGAACTCTCCTAGCAGAATACCCCTAACTAGCAACCAAGGGAAAGACAACATTTCATAAAGAAACCAGAAAAAAAGTAGTACATAAACCTGAAATGGGCACGTGAAGCTCATTCCACTTATACTTGCCATTAAGGATCCTAATTTCTCATTCTCCACTTTCTTACAAATTTTCATTACAGCACTACAGGTGGGGTGTTTCTATGTAAATGGACAGAGGACCTGGGGCCATCGGCCTTACATATATCCAAAGCTAGCTTCCAGGCAGTGTCTCACTTCAATGGAAATTTGCAAAAGTACTTTTCTACAACGGGAGAAAGCTCCTGGCTATCCCATCTAAATGTTCACACCAAATTAAGGGCTGACACTGTGACCATCACTATCAGCAACATATGCAGCCACACATGTCTCCCGATAAAATACAGCACTCATCCAAAGACTCTAGCAGTGAAGTACTCTTTAGTACACAGAGAATTTCTGGCCTTCACACTGAATTTAAAAGTGAAGGACTTAAACAATACAGCAAATGTAAGGCCTCATTCAACAGCAGCAAACACGATAGATGAAGATCCGGGAAGATGTGCGATAGGTCTGTCCTTTGGTCCCAGGCATACAACATAATGACCCTCACCAACAGACCAGGAAAGATGGCTCCACATCACCCTTCTCTGTTCCAGGCACACAACTTAAGTCTGGTGACAGTGGGGGTGCCCCAATTCCACAGTCCAATGCAAACAGGTATGGCGTCCTTTCCACAGCGTTCTCTGCCTGTCCTTTGGCCATGCACAGCATCCTGCTCAGGACCATAGTACTTAGTCCTGATGGAGAGGAGGACAAGAGAAAAGGTGCTCTAGAGACTGTCCACCTTTTCCAATCAAGCCTCATTGGTTTGTTGCACTGCAAAGGCTTCTACTTCTGTGACACACTGTGCAAGAAATGCAAACTTCCTCTTACCCTGTAACACAGGTGTAGCAGATGGCAACAGCACACCGTACTGTGAAGCTATCCGCATGAAAAATGAGTACACTGCTGAAAACACACGTGGCACCACAGGACTGGGCCGAAGTTCACCTGTTGAACAACAGCCCATGCAGCACCAGGCTGACAGCACTGGTGCTTGGGAAAAGTTTTCCCTTGGAAAAGTTTGTAATCATTCACTAAATCTAAAATGACTGGTCTTGCCATGACACATATTGTGCCTTTTCCCCCACATCATCAACGCTTATGTCCCCATCACAATGGACATACACCAAGATGACAAAAAGAAAAAAAAGATACAAAAGACCTGGACAAGACTCTGCAACAATATAATCATCTGACAAACTGATGATCATGAAGGACTTCGATGTATGTTTGGTTGGCAGTGATGCCCAGACAGGGAGAAAGGCATCAGACTCACAGGACCGGAAGCTGAACAGCACTCACTCACTCCTGCTCTGCAAGGGTGCCAGCCAGCAGCTCTCAATCACTACCACCATCTTCTGCCTAGCAAATAAGAGAGAGATATTATGGATGCACTGAAGATCTGAACAGTGGCAACTCGCTGGTAACCAACGTTGCCGGTGGGTAGATTGGAGGCTACTTGCAAAAGTCCATAATTGGAAACACTCAAAATTCCTAGGAACAACACAGTTGAGAGACCCCACAACAAAAAGCTACTGAACATCAACATGGAGACACGCCTGGGGGTTCTCTGACAGCAATGATCCTAATGGCATTCTCTGCCAAGGAGTTCCCAATGAAAAGTTACATGAATCTCCCACAATGCTATGAAGCAGGGCATTTAAAAAATGATAATCACCATAACTCATTCAAAGAGTGCAGCAAAGCCATCTAGAAGGTCCTCACAAGAAATCGCAGCAGTGTATTGCAACACTGACCCTGCGGGCAGGCGCCTACTCCCAGGTCAGTCTAAGCAGAAAGAACCTTGAGACAGGCTGTCAAGAGTCAATCAGCATCCCCAGCAAGCCCATCAAGGTCAAAGAAGAAATGGAACTTTTCTCCCTGTCCATCTCTTGACTCCAGATGTGCTGGTATGTATTTCATAAATTTTAATTTACATATGAGATCAGGCCTCTCAGTGGTACAGCTATAAAACCAAAGGATCCTACTCTGAATATTCTAAGAAGTTATGTGTTGTATATGGAATAAATGCACTCTGCCAGCTAAAGACTAGTAATAGCTAGTGTACAGAATAATGACGTTTTACTAAGGTCTGATTTGAAGTTCTAATATGAAAAAAAATAAATTACTGCCTTTGTTTATGTAAGGCTATTCCAGTATAAGTCTTCCTATGATATGTGAAAACTAAGCATTTTTTCTTTAAATGGTGCAAATGACTTAAGAAACAATAAATGAACAAATAGGTAACTGTATGTATGAAAATGTAAATATAAAAATGAACCTCTAACCATCTAGGTATCCAGATATGCTATTCAGAGGCCCCCAACTATTTCAGATGACCTATTTTCAATTTTCACAAAGCTGTGATAGCTTAAGACCTGTATGTGAAAAGGGGGACATTTAATGATTAAAATCATTAGGAAAAAAAAATCTTCAACAGGAAAAACATTCCTAAGATTTTCAAGAATTAGTTGTACTAAAAAAAAACAAAAAACATATAAGCGACCATGATTCACAAACAGTGGCAACCAAGTAAGAAATTAGTATGTGAAATCAAAAGGACTAAAATGAAGACCTATGACATACATCACAGAATTCCATCTGAGACCACAGGGATTATAAAAAATAGCGAAAATCCAGTTCTCCTTAAACACAGCTCCCTAAGTCAACAAACACAGGTAAAAATAGAGAGCTCTATCTTGAATCTTAAATAATGTGATTCAGTTTATAAAATGGAAAATTTAGTAAATCAGTTTTTTTAATTTTTTTAAAATATATTTTTTATTCACTTCAGAGTGGAAGGGAGAGGGAGAGAGAGAAATATCAATGATGAGAGACAATTATTGATTGGCTGCCTCCTGCACACCCCACACTGGGGATCGAGCCCACAACCCAGGCATGTGTCCTTGACCAGAATCGAACCCTGGACCCTTCAGTCCACAGGCTGATGCTCTATCCACAGAGCCAAACCGGCTAGAGCTAAATCAGTTTTTTTTAATGAGAGCTGGGTTTCTTCCTTTTTAATATACATTTTAAAAAACCACACAAGTCATAAAAACCAAGAGTATCATCCCACTGGGAAAAATGAATCTAAATAATTATGTTCTTAGAACGTACCCAGCATTATTTACAGATACACTGTTTGCAAGGTAATTAATTAAGCTTAACTATTTCCTTAACAAAAGAAAAAAAAAATCTGCCAATGGGCACAGTTTTTCCTCATGATTTTATTTGGTAGAGATTCTATTACTAAGCATTACTCTTGGAAAATAATGAGGTTTTGTGCAGGCACCTAAGTAATGTTAGTGAGTAATAATTTGAACAACTAGTTCTAATTCTATGGTTAACTTTTATTGAGAATTTAATCTGAGCCAGAAATTGTTCCAAGTGCCTTATACTTAAATTCATTTAATACAACAACCCTTTTAGGATAGGCATTATTATTAGCCCCGATTTATAAATAAGAAAACTGAGGCAAGGGGGTTAAAATGACAATAAGTGGTAAAGCTGGGACTTGAACCTGGAAATCTCATTCCAAACCTTCATTGTGGACCACCTTGCTTCCCTGAAAAGTGATGAGGAAAAAGAGATTTAAATATAAACACATACAGTCCAATTAGCTTTATAAGTAATTGCTGAGCAAATCTGTGTCTGTAATAACTAAGAGTAATTTTTTAATTGAGGTATAACTGACACACAATATTGTATTAGTTTCAGTTGTACAACATAGTGACTCAACCTTTACATACATTATAAACAAAGAGTAATCTTAAAGATAAAACTGCCAAGGTTTTCAGGGTAACAGACCTGGGATCAGATGACCATATTCTCCCTACTCTTGTCTTCACCTAACCTACTTTTTCTTTCCTTTGTAATTTCCAACTAAAAATATGAGAAAGTAGTAGAGAGCTGTGTGTGTGGTGTGTTGCGAGAGTTGTGTGGAGAGGAAAACAAACAGATTGACAAATACAGTAGTGAAGAAGTGAGAAACTGACTCAAATTAGAAGAGGATGTGAATCAAAATAGTCATAACAGACTGAGGTTAGAGTCAGGCAGAATTCTCTGATGAACAGAAGACCCAGCCGATTTTCCTTAGCAAATTATATGAGTAACAGCCACAATCACTTTAGCTTAAATTGAAATGACTAAGCTATTGTTTTACTTAGAGAAAGAAAATTCATTAACTTTAGTATGCGTGAGCTCTTCCATCTTCCAGAAACACCTCCTCAGAGACAG